GAATGTAATCCAATCTCAACCAAGGGACCAAGATGTTGTGCTTTTACTAGTCCTCTACCACCATGATTTTACCGATGCTGGCAACGGGCAAGAGGGAATCTTCCATCAACCACACGTAGGAAATGGTATTCCACCAGAAAAGATGAATAAAGAGGTCCTTTCGGATTAGCTTCAATTGCTATAGCTGCCTCCATCAGAAATGTATCATCTAGCGCCTCTTCCACTCTGACGATGGACTACCATAAATTGAAGTCATTTGTATGAGCATGTGCTGCGCCCTCCACGTTATCTCTCGTCAAAACCAGATAGCCAATAGGCAACGAGTACAGAACAGGTACTCCTATCGATCGAATGATAGACGCAGATGAGTCAGTAACGGGGGGCACGTTAGGAGCACAAGCCGCCCACATCCAAGGCCTCCACCCACTCACTCGGCTGCTGCTCACTCACCGCCACATGGAGTTACTGCTGGCATTCGACTTGGAGTGATTAGTGGGGCATGCAAAATGCAACAGACGTGATCCCACCACCCAACCGATCAGGGGGCGACATGCCAGTATGCAGCTGACTTTCCGATATTTTAACAAAAGGAGCCAAAATAAAGACTTATAACAAAAACCATAAGCACAAGCGTTTGCCCTGGGTTCCTGATGCATTAGTGGCTATATTGGAGAAGCTGAGTGAACATCTATCGCTTGACTTTGACAACTGCACAAGGTAAAATTAATTGGAAGGGCGGGAAGAGGGAGTGAAACTGACTTTTCCGTATTTTTAAAAGCACGAAAAAGGACATATAAATTAGGTGTTCCAGCTTCCTAACTGATTAAGACAAAGGGCTAAATGTTAAGGAGAATAAAATCAAGGTTTATGTATGCTCCAGAATACAGAACTACTACACCCATACCAAGCGATTTTGTAGCACCTCCAATCTTTCCTGCTGGACAAACTAGCATGGACTGAAGACATGTACCACTGATGTCTAGAAGAGCTGGGTGATCCATGCGAAGAGTGGTGGTGTAGATTGCGAAGCCTGAGAAACTAGTATACTTGCCAAATCATCACAATGTCAACTTGTTTTAAGTCACAGCCACTAATTCACCTCACTGCCTCGTGGCCTTCCCAGGCCCCTTATCTCTCCATAACTCTAGAAGGCTGCTTATGAAGCCACATCCCTTCGTTGCTCCCTCCTTAAAACTTCGGTTTTGCTACTAATCTGTCTCAACTGCTCTCAGGTTTTCAAGCTTCTTGCCTTTCCATCTATCTAGACCTCCGAATAACTCTCTAAAAATGGGTTTCTTTTCTTAACTATAACACTTTCTCTTTAGCAAAAACCGGAAAATTTATTTGCCTAGAATTGCATACACAAGAGTTCACTTAGAATTAGGGCATGACTGTAGCCGGGAAGCTGCCCACCACTTTGTTAAATTCTTTGCTTCAGAACTACTAATGGTTTTTTTCAGCAGAGAGAAGGTATCATCGAATAGAGACACCAGGTATGTTTTTCTTATTGTGCACATATATTTCGCTTTAGTCCCAACATCCTTCGAAAATAGAAATGAGGATTCTCTTTACCTCCTCACTGTCATCTGTGTTCGCGCAAGATCACTCACATGTCGAGGGGGACGGCAATTTAGCCGTATTTTAAAAATCAAAAAAATGCGAAAAATTTGAAGAGAAGCACTTTTCTTGATACTCGGCCAAGGGAATTAGGAAAAAAATAATACTGCACTCACTCCAACATTTTTAGAGTGCAATCCTGTAAATGCTTGGCTTCAAATTCAAAAAGCGCGCAGTGATCCCCTCACATGTGTATCACAAATAAACTTAAGAGCGATGTGGAATTGACAAACTTCAGTGTTCTGAAGCATATTTGATATTTATATGCTGCGGAGCATGACACATTTGGCACAAGGAGTTAAATGCCTGGTGTTCGTGAACTTTGGAATTCACATTTTATTAGTAGTGCCATTCATAAGGGGATCACCGTGAACATAACTCATAAAGACGTGGTGGCGATGTGATGCGTGTTTGCCTGAATGCACCTCCTAGGTAAGAAGCGTCCAGTGAACACAAAACATTTTTGCAGAACAGTCTCCATCGAGCTGAGACGTGAAAGAGGTTTGTACTGAAAGCGCGTTCCTCTGATCTGCATTCTCTGGCTAGAATGTCCCAAGCTAGTCATTCTACCAGTTGTAGGTGGAAGCTCTGACAGGGACTAGGCTATTTCCCACTCTAAAATCCACACTTTGAGAAGCTTGCCTGGGAACAGAAGGCAATAAATGGGTGGCAGCAGATGAAGCACATTATTGGTATTTAGTTCCCGTGTTATGCTCATCCTTAAATGCAGCACCACTTTAATATTGGCAGGCCACTTAACCAAAGTAGTGTCAGTTTCTCTTGGAAAGAAGATTTGACCCCTACTGGCCTCTTTCAGCCTAATACATGAGCTGCGAATTCCGTTCGGTATGATACAAGGGGTAGAGCAGAAGACGCAATGCAATTAGTAGTCTTTTCATATCGTGAAATTTGTTCAGAGGCGAGTGTAAGTGAATGCGTCA